CTGAAATAGTCAATAGGATGATGATTCAATTGCTGTGTATTACCATCAACAAGAACTTGAAAAATTGGGAAGATTGTTTACTTTCATTGAATTTGCTTATAATCGTGCTACTTATTCTACCACTTCGTTTACTCCTTTTGAAATTGTTTATGGTTTTAATCCGCTAACACAGTTGGATTTAATTTCGTTACCTATGAATGAACATGGTAGTTTAGATGGCAAAAAGAAAGCAAAATTGATGAAATCGCTTCATGAAAAATCAAGTTGCTAATCGAGAACAAAAACAAGCTTGTTGCGTCACAGACAAACAAGGGGAGAAATCACGTAACATTCGAACCAGGTGATTGGGTTTGGGTGCACTTCAAAAAGGAGCGTTTTCCTGAGCAATGAAAGTCAAAGTTGCAATCTCAAGGAGACGCTCCATTTCAAATCACTGAAAAGATCAATGACAATACTTACAAACTAAATCTTCCAGGTGAGTATAATCTTTCAGCAATATTTAATGTGTCTGATCTCTCTCTCTCTCTCTCTCTCCCTCTCTCTATAATGCAAGTGCAAATTTGAGGACGGATTCTTTTGAAGAGTGAGGGGATGATGTGATCTTAGAGTCAAGCCCAATAAAGACGAGCCCTGAACGAGACCCGTTGATAATCGAAGACGGACCGATGACGAGATCGAGGGTAAAGTGGGTGAAACAAGCGATGGAATTACTTTTTCAATCCATAATCAATGAAACATCGCTCGTGGCACAAAATGGGATAACTTCTATGTGGGTGTCAAGAGTCGAAACAAATTGGAGCAACTTGATTCAAGCTTTGGATTAAAATGGGCATAACTCTCAGTTCGGGTGTCCGATTTTCGTCCATGAGTACAATTCAAAATCATCATGAAATTTTGCACATGAAAAGTTGATGTTGAAATTTAATACTATGTGGTCGAATAGTATAAAAGGCATGTGACCACATAGACCATTTTTTAGACCAATTTGAAGGATTTAAATAAACTATGCGACTGCATTGGATTATACTAATTTCATGCAAAAAATTTCCTTTTTCTCAATTTTTCATATTTTGCTAGATCTTATTTTTATTCCATGTCTTTGTAATCTTGGATGAATAATGCACGATTTTACTAGATTTTTTTAGAATTTTACAACTAGTATAAATATAAGAATTCTTTTTCATTGTATTCATGCATTAGAAGACATTATTATTGAGTGAATTAAATTGCAAGGCATATTCATTTCTTCCATTCGTCATTGAATAACTTGAACTTATCAAGAATCACAGTTCTTATGACGTTCTACAATTCGGATGTAGGTCTTGGATTGTATAATCAAGGGGTCCTTCAAGCAACATTCTTACTGGGTTTGTTGGTTCACTAATTTGGGGTTCAAACTCTAAACCTCTAACTAGGCTTTTTTGGGTTTTTGTAACAATCTCGTTGTGGGTTTCGTAGTCAATGCTGCTGCATGGTTCGCATCACTATTGCCCCTGAATATGGCACCAAAGCAATCATAAATTATTTTGTTAACACATTAATTACGTAACTTATTTGTAATTATAATTTGGCATTCTCTACCATCGTCCCCACCTTTTGATTTTCCATTTTTCTCTTCTTTTTATGGACGAATATGGTTCATTAAAGACAGAGATTTACAAACTTAAGTACCGAACATTCAAATGTTAATTTTAATTTATTTGGGCGCAATGATGCCAATCCTATCATCTTTGTCTTGAGCATAGAAAGTGAATAAAAAAAATCCACACATTTAAGGCACGTTTGATTCATGTTTCAATTTTCAGTTTAGAATTTAATTCTAGTTTTCTATTTTGATGGTCTATTTTAATTAGGGTTGGGCGCAGTTGATTTGGTTTGGTTCTCATTAGAACGAACCGGACTCCAAAATTTTTGAGTATTTAATAACTAGAATCGTTGGATCCAAAATTTAATTATCGAACCGTTTGGTTTCAGTTCTATGATTAATATTTTTAATATTTATGAAGTTACAAAAATTCAACTAATGTTATGTTCAATCTTAACTCTTACAAAATAATGTAGTCTAATTTTATGTATTTTTTGTGTCTCTCTTTGCTGAATTCTTCATAGATTTAAATGTTAAATTCGTAGGAAAAGAAAGATAGCAAGCTTACAATAATTAAGAGACACGCTATCGACCTTCAATTCGATTTCTTTAAAACGGTAGAAACGACACTATGGTATAATAACAAATTTGGGTAAAACTTAGGCCAATTTGATTGAATTGAGTTTAGATTGAAAATTAGAAATAAGAAAATAATATTTTTGGGTTTGAAATAAATTAACTAGTTAACAAATTTATTTAGAAAAAATAAAATAAAATAATTTGACTTATTTAAAATAAATAAATTAAAAAAATTAGAGTGATTCGATCTTCGATTCTTGATCTAAAATCAAGAACACAAGTGAACTCTTCAGTTCTCGATTTAGATATCTGTTCGAGTATTTAATTTAAGAAGAACTGCTCGATTCGATCGATTTAAGGTCGAGAGTTTTGCTCAGCCCTAATTTAAATATTATTAAAAACATGTTTAGTTTGACATTCTGAAAAATTGTTTTCCAAAATTTGAAAAAATAAATAAAGTAGGAGATACGTTTGATTCGAAATTATTTTACGACATTTTATCACATAAAATTTGATTAAGTAAATAAAATAATTTTATATTAATATATTATCGAGTAATATGTACATGGCCCACCATATGAAACCTAGTCCAAATGGTGTTATGATATATGGGCAACTTCCAATTGTATCCCCACCTTGAGATGTGAACACGTATTGTTCCAAACAAAAGCCATGCATTTTTTACTTCAATTATGCTAGGTGGACAGGGACTATTGATCAAACGCTAACAGGGATTTGAAATTTTGGTAACTGGACATTATTTAAATCATTAAAAAATGCATAAAGCCATCAAATGCAAATGGAGGGAAATTAATAAAACAAATGCTGGAGGGAAATTAATAAAATAAAGGCTGCTTTCTCTCTCCACCCACTTTCCCCATTGTTATGCTAGTGTTTATTAATTTCCATCTATTTGCATTTGGTGGCTTTATACATTATTTAATGAATTAAATAATGTCCAGTAACTAAAATTTCAAATCCCTGTTAGCATTCTGTCAATAGCCCATGTCCGCCTAGCTTAATTGTTTTCGATCTGGTTTTTTATCATGAGTCTATAATAATATTTGTTTGTCTGATAATGGTAAGACTTTGGGTGCAGTGTTTTAAGTTTAAATATTAGCTGGTAAATCTATACTAAGTCTATTGCAAGGAGTTGTGAGTCCATTGCAAGGATTCATGCAGTGTTGGTTGTGATATCCTTGTAGATCAATAACCAAATAAGCGTCTGATTTGGTTTATTCATTCTAGTTGTACACTCTCTTTTGAAGGTTTCTTGCATAGTGACGTGCTTACCTTTGAGTCCCCAGATTAGGTTGATTTTTTACTGAACTAGGTAAACAATCTCCCATGTTTGATTATTTTACTATTGTTAGTGGGTTTTGGGTCAAAATACCCAACAAATATGGTATCAGAGCTAGTTCTTGAGGCGCTTGGGTAAAAATCTTGGTTATGAAGATAATCAATTTTTTGGGGTAGTTAAAGATTTGTAAGGATCCCGGTTTCTTTTCGAAGTTTTTTGTTTATTTTTATTTTTATTTATTTTTATTTATTTATTATTATTATTTTTATTTTTGTACTCTGTTCAGATCTGTAAAGATTTGAACATATGGGTTAAGGTTTCCAACATTTCTTTGAAGTGTGAAGGTAAAGGGATTTGGTTTTTCTTTCTTGGCCGATTTTTGGGCAATACCTGGCAAGAGAAATGGTGCTTTTCTAAATTTAGTTGCTCTATTGTTCAACAATGCTTGGTGAGATTGTTTTTTAAACTTTTTTGGATAATCCTGGTTTACATATAAACTTTCTCATAGAACTATAGATTAATTGATGTAAATTGAGTACCATGTATTACAAATGAATCTGATATAGGAGCATGTAAAGGATTTATAATTCAGAACCTCTTATACTCGTTCTGTAATCTTGTATTAACAACACTGTGATTGCTAGGTTTACGGGTTTGACTGCGCAAGTTAAAGTATTGATTTCATTCTGTAATCAGCCTTTCTTTAAAGTCTGTAAGGAACATTTTTCTGCACTTGAGTGTTCACACCTTGAAAGATCACTCATGTCCACTTGGAGTAGCCACCTTTTATAGAACCAGTGCTGGATTTGAAGGTCGAATTGTCACAGTTCAATGGAAAGAGGGAATACTTGATTTGGAAGCAGAAAATGAGGGTCATACTAGTCCAACAAAGAGTTGCTAAAGGCCTAGATGATCCAAATGCATATCCTGCTGAACTTAAAGTCAAGCCTGATGAAATTCTAGATATAAATGAAATTGCCTATAGTTTAATTATCTTGCATTTATATGATAATATTGTAAGACAAATAGAATATTCCAAAACTACTAGATTGTTAATTTTAATTCAAGACTATTAATTTAGTATTTCATGATTGATTTTGCATTCTTATTGAACTGTTTGATTGCTTGATCACCAATTAGACAGTAAGTTGCTTGTTGTAGTATATGAATACTCACAATAAGTTTAGAACGCGGCAAAATCAATAATGGACAATAGGTATTAGGAATAATATCTATGGCATGTGCAATCATATGTGATAAATCCTGTGAATCAATGCATTTTTTTCATATTAATTCAGACTAGAATAGGATCGGGTCGTGTTAAATATAGGTTTAATATATTTTGAAAAAGAATATTAAATAAAGTGGATTATCGATAATCTTGCATACACAAATTTACTAAATTATGAATTAAGAGTTGAATTAAACTGCAATAGGAGGATTCACGATTCCAATAATGCATATATTCGATAAATATTTTATTTGCTTCCTTAGTTTAAGATTAGTATAGAAAACATACAAATCACAAATATTTTGATATTATATTACTTCAAATTTAATAAAAACTACTGAACTAAATATTAAACCTTATTCAACATGGGAACGACGAAAAGTTGGACAAACATCAGATCCTCATAACTAAAAAACACATTGTATATTTGTAGAGTGTGGCTTCTAAGATGAAGTCTGAGAAATGTATCAGCAATTGTCACCACATTGCTTGGTATCTGGCCCCTTAGTTTTTAATATGAATGGGTCAATCCGGATCCATAACAAGGAGAAGATAGAAGCCAAAAGTACTGACCATATAACAACAATAGTAGGTGGCCTATTCTGCTTACCCATGAGACCTTTCAAGAATGGATAGAGATGTATAATCACCCAAAAGGCAAAGAAGAGCTTCCCAAACAGGGGACCCCATGAATTGTATCCATTGTTTGTTGCATCAGAGATTCCAGCCACAACACCAACCAAGTTTATGATTAAAATAGTTGTTGGAGGGATTAGGAGGGTTGTCCACTTGAAAGCATATAGCTCTCCAAATTCCTCATCATCCGTTGCCTTTGATGTGACTGTGAAGTTTGTTTCTATTCCAGCCAAAACCTTGAGAAGACCTTGAATTACGGCAAACAGGTGAGCGGACACACCACCAATCACCCAAAATTGTTCATTTCTCCACCATTCCTCAATACTAACTCCACTCCACCTTAGCTCTAGGATGCCAGTTGTGAAAATAGAGAGAAAGAGAGCAATGAAAAAGAGACTTGCAAAGGTGCTTATCTGAATCAGGCGAAAATGGAGACTGAAGTTTAGAAAATTAAAGTAAATAAGGCTAAACGGGAATAAAGATCATTTTTACCTCTGGCAATATGAACTTTCCAGTGAGCAAGCAGATGGCAGGGAGGGTACAATATGCGAGAAGAGGTAGGGAGGTAAATGGATAGACAGTTGTATTAATATACGCAAATCGCTCAAGCCACTTGAGTTTTCCGTCTTTGTAGCCATACCAAACAGGGTTGTGACGACTGAAAAATATTTCAACAGAACCAAGAGCCCAACGCAGCACCTGATTAAGACGATCTGATAGATTAATTGGAGCAGATCCCTTGAAGGCAGCCCTTTTGGGCATACAGTAAATGGACCTCCAACCACGACAATGCATCTTGAATCCTGTTAGGATATCTTCCGTGATAGAACCATAAATCCAACCCAACTGCATGTTTATGAGTTGCCAAAAGGAGACACAAGTAATGAGAGTTATAAATATTAAATATTATGATAGACAATAAGATATTAAGACCTAATGCAGGTCAAACATGCCATCAATCATTCTATAGAAAGGGGTTATGTGAATATTTATGCATTCCCCTTTCTCGAGTAAGCAGATATTTTGAACGTACCTCAGAACCCCACTCTGTCTTATCTTCATAGCCACAACTGATGACATGAATGGCTTCTTTGAGAAGGGCCGCTGGGCTTGAGGAAGGTGGAACTCCACCTTCAACCATTAATGTTGAAGTCACAAAAATTGGAGACTGTCCAAATTTTTTTTCAAAGTTCATCTGAGACATCAAGAGCTCTTTGTTATCATCAAATCCTGAGCCAGACAATGTGAAATATATGAATTTCTAAACCTGGCAAAAAATCAATTAGTATTTTATTGACTATTGTAAAGGCAATGACTGAAACCTGTAGTGTTTGCATCGCCATTAACACCATCCTTAGAATACTTAGGAAGCTTTTTGCGGTGTCCAAAGCATGGGAAACAATCACAGCTTACCATCTTTGGGCGCTTAGGATCCACTGGAGGTTCATAGCCATATAAAGCTTGTCTTCTAAAGACACATCCTCCGCCAACATAGACAGGGCCTTGAATTCCATCTAAACCTTTCATGTTGATCTATGCAAGAGAGAAATGAAAACATAGGTGGATTATTTAATACAATGGAAAAGATTCTGGGCCACTAAGCATTTCCTTCTGTTCATAGCCTCTCTGTTATTATGGAATTCTATAGTTTCTTTGTGGCAATTTTTTTGGTAGGTACTTACATCAAAGAAGACTGTGTTTCTGTTAGCATATCTATCGTGCCTGTCTATTCCATCGAATCTCTGGGGGAACTGAACATAGCAAACCTTCTTTCCAACTTTTGGATCCATCAAGAAACACATTGCTTCTCTTATAGCCTTGCTGTTGTTTAAGTAATGGTCACAATCCAAGTTTAGCATGAATGGAGCATTGGTAAGAATACCAGAGATACGAACCTGCAAAATTTGGTAAAAAAATAATATTATATCTCATTTAGGAGTATGACCTCTGTTATTAATGCGTTTTAACAAACTGATGAAATGAAAGAAAAAAATTTGCTCGAGGTTGTTACTGATCAACAGCCAATGAACGATATTATGATCTTTACCAGGGCATTCATTGCACCGGCT